AAAAATAAAGACTGCAAGTGACGTCGCTAGCGGAAGCGCAAGTGTCTGAGAGTGCAAGTCTGAGAGTGCAAGCGCAATTATTGGCCGGTAAAAAACTCAAAGCAGTAGCACCAAATCTGAATTCATTAACTTATTAATAAACTCAATGAATTTAACTGTGTCAAATTTGTGTTTCTGTTGTCTCACTTAACAGCAAAGAACTTTTTAATTACTGAACATAAATGTAATTTAGGTTTATGAGTTAAAGGCAGCAATATTTAATAACAAAAAGATGTAAGAACAAAAGAGCACACTGGCAAACTTGGCTTAAAAGCAAGGCTATTTTATGATATAGGGTAAGGATAATTTAAACACTACTTGTTGTGGTTTCCCTGAGATAAGGGGTGATAGGTGGTCTGCCAGATAAAACCGTTTGTGAGCCATTGCAGTCAGGGTTGCAAAGGTTGACTAAAATGCTTGTATTTAAGTATTTTATATTCGAACAATTATAAAACTATGCTAGATGTTAAGTTTTGTGAAGGTGGAGGACTGTTAGGGAACCTTTGAGCTCTTGTGTGCATCTTTATGAAAACAGACTGTGTTTATGATAACTACTGTACAGTGGTTTTCACATTGAAATTGTGTATGGCACACAACACTGACTGTAAAATATGTATTATTGGTATGGGTGTGGCATATTTTGAGTTGTAATATTTAGGATAGGGTCATTGGGCTAGTTTGGAGCTGTTTTTGATTGGCTGTTGGCCTAGTGGCCTACACAGACCTGGCAACCCTGAAGATAGTCTGAAGGCATCTACCACTGAATAAATTACTTCCACTCAGATAAATAATGTAAGGACACAGGCTTTATGAGAATGTTTATTTGAGGACCCCCTAACCCCTGGCCACAACTGTTTAACTGTTAATCTACACCACAATTTTTCCATCAACATTCTGAACCCAATTCATGTTTTGACAAGACCTCTCAAATACGCATACATTTTCCCTTTCTGTCAATTTGAATTTAGCATCGCATCACATTGCTTAATCCTGATAACCACTGTTAGGGGTCATTACACATTACACTGAGCTCTGTTACTGGTCAATTTCAATATCTTCAGAGAAAGTTCAAAATTAACTCTTTAATGTGGGAACACCAGTTGGTATCGGCACTCACAGCACATCTGAAATAAATTTTAGTTTTTTTCATCATTCTCAGAATTTGGGCTGATGTGGGATCAACGATTTTACTTTTAAGAGAGAATGCATGGTTTCTGGCTAAAGGAGACAAACTGAGTGAAGCTGCTATATTAGTAGCGGACAGTTAAAACTAAGACCATGTAAATACTGCACCTCACCAAATAAGACAAACACTTTTTGTGCTGGCTAATTGGCCATAATCAAAACTACACTGATCATATGTCTACAATATTTGCTTGTATAGCTGCAGTTTTGGCAATAGGCTTTGGTTGAATACAAGCCAGTCTGTTAGAATTCAGCCCAACTGACTGTAAATGGCAAGTATTTATCTCAATCCACAGAGTTGCTACTCATTAGCTTGCTTTTAAATACGTAAAGCATAACGTGACTATACAAAATGACATTATGAAAGCATTCAGTAAGCAGGAGTATGTACAGCCACTTAATTGTATTACATACATTTGCTGAACACTCAACAATTACAACAATCTTATATTAAAAAATGCAAATGTGTGGGTAGAGATTCATGGTTGCACTTACAGTCTGTCATTTTCAATAAAAAAAAAAACAGCAAAGTCAACATCACGTGTTAACAATGGATAAGTGAGTATTTAGCATGCTATTTGAAGCAATGGCAGGATTACATTTTGCCTTCTGGGAAGCATTAGACTACAGTTGTATATCAGTATTTACAATATTACCACTAAATATCCATGACGATTACATAGACATTTTGTGCAGATTTTACCTATTGTAGCTATATTTTCCTGCAGTAATAATAAGTGAAGGCAATAGGCTGTTTAACCTGTCTGTGTGGCATAAAGGCATGTGCATACAGGTACATGATTCTCATGTAAGAGTACAACAGTCTTTTCCGGGTTGCAGGTGGCACATGGACTTTTAAAGTATTTGTCACTGTTTTTCGAAGAATAGTTTGCATATTGTTCTAAATGTGGGCCATCATTTTTATCAGTGGATACACTCTGAGATAGTCTTTGTCATGTGTGATTAATTGTCCAAGTAGCACAAGCATTGATTAATATCACTGTACAAAAATATATTAAAAAAATGGTGCGGTTAGGTTAATATTGTGAATCCATTGAGATTCTATAGTACATGGGCAATTGTTCAAATCCAGATTGTTTTTTTTTTTTTTTTTTTTAAATAGGTAAAACTTCTGATGCAATCCATGGCAAGTATAAAACTCATTACATGTCCGAGGTAAAGATAATCATATCCATTACCACCTGAGTTTTTACCGCATCAGGAGCATAGTACTTCATCAAGATTGGAACTGTGGACAGATTACAGATTTTATGCTTCATGTTTTTCCCCTGTCTTCTCTGACATTGTCTGTGCTTGACCATGTGTCTGTGGAGAGCAGCAGACCATGGGGCTGGGGATGTAGTTGAAAGGAGTAACCCTGACAGCTTTACTAGGTGAGCTCTGTCGGAAATGGCCAACACCACCACTGTGGGTACTTTCCACTGACTGAAAGGTGGAGGTTGACGCTGTGCTGTAGGTTTTTAGAGATCCATCCGAATCCCCATCTTGAATGGTATTCCCAAAGGACATGCTTATTTTCCTGGGGAGGGCCATCTTTGTGGCCTCGTCTGTAATGCTAAGAACTTTTTCAATTGTGGGAGAGGTGCTTGAATTAGTTTTGTTGGCCGAGTAGTCCTCAGTTTGAACAATTGCATCACTTGTTTTCCGTGATGCTAGAGTAATAGTAGGCAGTTTTCCTGGTAGTGGTGGTGGCATCTGTTTGGTGCCCTCTGGTGAAGGCAACAGAGGCAGTGCAGTGGGTGGAAGGGTGCTCTTTAATATCTGGGGAACGTCCTCATCACGAATCCTTCGCCAGGTCACTCTGTCAGAGTTACGTGATCCTGCTCTCTGTTGCCTCTGATTTGTGTTCCTTTCACTTTTAGCTTGTCCACTTGAGTCAGAGGATGAAGAGCGTAGAGAGGAGCGGCTGGTGACACGACTCAAGACATTTATGCTTGGTGAGGAGGAATATCTTTTGATGGTATCCTCCCTCTTTTCTCTTGGCTTTGGACCGGGTGTATTTCTTTGTGAGACCCTGCAAGGACTTTCTGAGCTTGTTCGTCTAGCTGGACGTTTCACAGTGACGTCCCTATCAATGGAGGTGGCTCTTGATGGAGCCATGTCCTGCCTGATTACCCCCTGTTCCTGCACTCGTCTTTGTCCTTGAGTCACAGGCATTCTTGTCGGACCTTGAACTGCTTCCTTTAGCTCCTGACAACGAGAAGAACATAAGAAAACTGCTGGGGCCCCTGGAACTGCTCTTCGGGGTGAGGCATGCTGTGATGTTGGGACAGAACGTGAAGCAGCGTCATGTCTTAAGACTTTTGAGGACTCTTTGATGAATGTCAGTTGTCTGAGAAAACCATTATGATCTGATTCACCACTACTTGAATGAGTGGATGTCATACGAACCAAATCCATTCGATTTGCTGGTAGGATTCTTTTCCCTGATATCTGCGTATTTTGTCTGCTGATGTTAGTGGGCTGGTTGGTTACTAAAGGTGAAATGTTTCTTGTTTGCCTTGATGGATTCTGCATGAATGGTATTCTGACAGGGGATTTCTGCGTTTTCCTGTCTACGGGAGATTTTGAGTTCTGATTGATGTTTGAAGTGCTTCCTCTTTTGTCCGGTGGACTGCATGGTGCTGATGCCACCTTCGCTGGACCTTGTTTAATGGTTTGGGTTGGGGAGGTTACTTTTTTCTGAGGATGCCTGGAAGGTGTTGAACTTTGAGATGATCCTGAAGATGAGCTCTTT